TTTTTTTTTAAAAAACTCAGCAATCCTTGAAATTTTTACAACTTTTTTGATGGCGTCTTGATGAACATCCCAAAACGCAACTTTGCCCCAATTTAACCATCTTCGTATCTATTACGGTTTCCGAGATACCAATGCTCGTACCTCAAATTTGTAGCACCCAATACATAAACACGATATACTATTACAAAACGAATAAAAAATATAGATGTGTGGCAAATCAAATGAGCTAAATATATAGAGTTTTACGGCGTATATAATTATTTTATTACCGTTCTCGCGGCATTACAGTTATCCCTTCGAAAAACAAATATTCCCCCGGTCCGTGACGGTTGTTAATATTTTGTCGGGAAGTCGACAGGTCGGAAATACAGAGCCGGCAAAAGAAAAATAAAAAACACAGAAAGACTGGTCGTTTTCGAGCGGAGTTTACGGGATGCGGATATGCGTAAATGTCTCGTGCATCTGGCGGACAGATGAGCCTCGCACGTGCACCGCGTTGCACCAGAGACTTTTCTTCAAATTGAAGTCACCGACGATGGTCAAGACGTGACAAGAACAATAGAGGCTCCTAATGGGAAGGTCGAGGAGATGGCGTGGTTGTGATTGACAGAAATATTGAAGTAGAAGTATTGTGTACCGATAATAAATTGTAACCAACATGTTACAGCCATGCACCAGTTGAGAGAGAGAGAGATATGTGTTAAAGACGCATCGACTGTAGAGTCTTTAGCGCCACTTTATCCCATTATTTATATATTTATGTCTAAATTAAAAGTTCTCCGTAAATATTTATATATGTCGATGTCCTTTATATAATCCAACATAGCCGTGTTATTTTGGAAGGAAAGGGCTACCTCTGGGTTATCCACGATACCGTGTTGTCTTCGTTTTAACGCGTACTTTGGGCATTCAAAGATAATGTGTTTGACGGATATTGGAGATTACATATTTCACAAATGGGCTGGTTCTGTCCTTTAAAGAGGTGTTCATGGGTAAGTTTCGTGTGTCCTAAACGAATTCTAATGAGTACAACGAAATCTCTTCTAGGTAAGTTAACTACATTATTTTCAAAATAGTCCCTTTTGATTTCATGAAGCTTATTATCATTCATGTCTAAGTCCCATTCTAGTTGGATTATATTATCGATCATATGTTTGCCACAATTCTTTAGATCTTGCACGGAGAAAACGAGGTTGGTTTTATGAGGGTTGGAAGTTTTTGCAGCCAAGTAATCAGCTCTGTCATTGCCAGGAATTCCTATGTGGCTCGGAAGCCAAAGGAAAATGACGCTGTAGTGGTTGATATTGGCCTTCTGGAAGCATTTTGATTGCCATAACTAGTGGATGGTTGGAGTAGAAAGAGGAGATACTTGAAATGGAACTCAATGAATCGGTAGCCACGACCCATCTCTTATATCTGGAGGTCAATATATGTTGAATGGCCTTAAATATTGCTAAAAGCTCTGCTGAGATGCACCAGTTGAAAAAGTCTTTATAAACTCTCCGGCATATAATTCCGCCACACTAAAATTTTGACTAAGTTTAATGCTTTATAACTTTTGAATTTGTAATCCGATTTTTATGGTTATAGTATTAGTTTGTGGATAAATTTGATGGCATTAGTTTTTATTATTTTAATGGCTTATATATTTCAGTTATGAGGGGTTTATACCGGGATAAATCAAAACTTCGTTTTTTGCAATAAATTTGAAACACCCTGTGGAAAAAATGGGACGGGCATTTTGGATAAAAAACAGTTTCCTGTGATCTTAGATATGTATTCCTAACATTTCGTTTTTTGACTTATACTTTTATCTCTATTCTTTTATGAGCTACACATTTTTAAATAAAGTACTGATATTTTTACAATCTTGAATCTGTTGAAAATGGAGCTCTCAATGCCCACCGTTATATTGAGGATGTCCGAGAAGTTGTGGATCCATTTATTCCTTTCACTGGAAATCAGTTTATACTGATGCCTGATAATGCCAAGCCCCACGATGCGCGGGGTAACGAGTTAGAAGTTTGAGTAGTTAACCTGGATGAGGTTGGAATGGTCTCCTTGTAGTCTCGACCTCAATCCAATCGAACATTTGTATGATGAACTTAAAAGAGCTGTTCATCGTCATCACATTCCACCATAAACTTTACAATTTTAGAAGGGGTTTCTTTTAAAGGGGTTTCTTGATCTATAGCTTGATATTCATCCAGCTATATGTAGATCAAGAAAGAATAACTACCCTTATTCATTCGATAGGTACGTCGAAGACTGTTATTGCTGCGAGAGGTGGACATATACGCTATTAAAATTATTATAAAATTATTGTTTTTGTCAAGAAAAGAATCTCTGAAATCCATACTTTACTTAAAAATCTGTAGCTCATAAAAGAATAGAAATAATGGGATAATTTAAAAAATGAAATGTTAGAAATACATCTAAGAAAGTTTTTTTTATCCAAAATGCCCGTCTCATTAAAATCTTAATCATAATCATCAAACTTAGTCAATTTTTTAGGGTGCCGGTGAGTATAGTAAACTTAACAAGGGCATCCTTATGCTTTCAATCACAGCCTATTCGGGACCAGCTGGCCAACTTATGGTCTTTTATCACTGTTTTCAAAGATGGGAGTTATTATTACAGAAATTATTCAGAGTTCAGAAACAGAAAATCTTGTACAGATGTCAAGATTTATATTCTTCAAAACTCAAAAAACTGCTATACCATGCTTTCCTGAAAAGAATTTTGAGGTTTTCACCACTAGAAGAAAATTGACAAAAAATGGTTAACTTTTTAGAAGGTATGTTTTCCTCCCGTTGTTACAAGCCAAAAAATTATGACATTTAAACAGAACGTCAATGGTTTATAATAGATGCATCTGCTAAAAAAACAAAAGTGTTCTTGAATAGTTGTGTTTAGATATTTTGAACAGTTTTTTATTTGTTCTTTGTGTTTTTCTTGCTTCTGACGACGGCAGGATGAGAAATTAACGTTTCAGGGGGGATATCCTGAAACGTTAAGCATTTTTTGTCGATTTTCTTTCCAGTGGCGAAAAAACCAGAATTCTTTTCAAGAAATGAAACCGCCACAAAGGTATAGCCGTATATGTATACAGGGTGAGTTTCCTACGATGTTCTCTATGGGTATCTCGGAAACTACTGGAGATAGAAAGTCGGTTAAATGGGGAAAGAACTGCAGTTTTGTGGGATCATAAATATGCGCCTTTCAGATTTTTGAAAAAGTTCATGGCTTACTAGATATTTCGAAAAAAACAGATTTCGGCTATTTTGAAAATTGTCCCTAATTCCATTATAATCTGTTTTAGACAAAAAGTTTTCAGATAAAAATTGTAGATAATCACATTCTTAATGAGACTGTATCCTCCGTTTTTCTCTAAAGCCTGTCATTTTTGACATATGAGACAAACATATATTTTCTTAAATGGAAACCATAGTTGGCCATGATTTCATAAAAAGCGCCATTTTTTAAGCTTTTTGGCGATATAAGCGATAATATGTTTTCTTCGAAAAATTACTGAGTAGTAGCCAATTCTTATAATTTTTAAACAATTTCACTTAGTTAGCCATGGAAACAAGTTTAATCGTCTTTGCTCTCAGATATATGAAGCTGTTACATCCAAAATTTGTAAATTAAAATAAACAAAAATTGTAAATATGAATTTTTCAAATGAAGAAAAGCGTGTAGGATTATTGGTTCAACTTTTCTTGACCATAAATTTTCGAGGATACGTTGACCGGTGAATGTTACGTTTTTTAGAGAACGGTTTTCAAGACATGTTAGAAAAGTTAAATTTAGTTATAGCCAATTCTTATCTTTCTTGGCTAATCTTTGGCACTTAGATTGCATGGTATTCTTATTCTGTTATGATTTTTAACTTATAGAAAGTCGGAATATCTTATTAAACGGTTCAACATTACAACAATTACAATTTACATTACACATACTAAATCCTAAATCTTAAAAAAATAATATCACTACATACACTTTAAGTTATTTTAGAAAATGTTCAAAAAATCCGTCATTGTTTTGAGTTGCATCTTTTTAAAACTGAGAATTACTACCTATTTTCACAGAAGGACCAGTCGACTTAATTAAACTTCTCTCGTACCGCCACTTCAAGTGCCTCTCTTAATTCATAAGGTTTTTTGTAAACCTTTTTGTTAACCATATCGCCTAAAAAATCTAAAATGGATAGGCCAGGTGATCGAGGAGGCCCATGCAATTGGTCCACCTCTTTCTATCCCTGAGTCTACATAATTATGATATAAATAATGCTTAACATTTCTTTCATTATGGGGGGGGGGTCATAATGAAAGTCATGTTGAGTCAAGTCACCACTCTATTGATGCGCGAGTATCTACACGCTTTTCTTCATTTGAAAAATTCATATTTACAATTTTTGTTTATTTTAATTTACAAACTTTGGATGTGACAGCTTCACATTTATATATAGGAAACTCACCCTGTATATTATAATATCAAAATTTGCACATACAATCCATTAACAACAATTTTGAAATCGTCTTCAAATTACCAAAAGCTACTTAAATATTAACAATACACATTCAGCATGGTGTAAAAATACAAGCACATAAAATAAACAATCGGTTCGTTTTTCTATAGGTATGTAAGTTAACGCCAGCCTTTAAAAGCATTTTCTATTAGAAACCACTTTCAATGCATGTTTTATTACAGGATATCATTTGTCTGTTAAGTTTTACGTGTTAAGTGTACTCCGAAAGTGACAGTTTAAATTATTTTATATTAGAAGTCCCGCGAGAAGCCATTAACTGTTAATAAAATAATTAAGTCGATTAATTGGACGGGACTAGATTCATTAGCAAGCTGCTATTTTACCGAGATAGGATTTATCACTGCTGGCTAAACGTGTCAGTTATCTTTAAATTGCAGGTGTCACGTTACTATAGTATTAAGCTGCCATCAGGTAGGAGTGTTATCTCTTACTTTAATAGATTACGTACTTGTTCTGCACGGTGAGTATTCTTCGAATTTTTCGAAATAGGAATCAGCGACGAAGCACGTTCCTACGGGATCTCTTCGGTTCATCTCTTTGCTGTACCAGACGTATCTTGGAGCACAAGCCTGAAAAAGAAGTAAACATTATTTAGTTGTGTAAATGTGTATTTTTTATATTACTTAAAGTAAGAATAGGGAAACAATGGGGTAATGCGTGTAAGAGATCACAACAACCTGTTTGAAATTCTGTTGATCCAAATTTTGTTTGAGTTGAAGTCTATTAAAGCAAGTACCTACTATACCGTGCTGGCAACTGTTACTTTTGTGTCGGTATTTATATGTGTGGAAGTAAATCGCATAGGGATCTTATTAAGTCGGAGTAAGAGAAATGCGACAGTGTACTGTTGTGTTGTTGCCGGTACGTCTTTCCCTATCAAGTAAAGTAAAATTACGATCGCCAAACCGGTTATTTTTAAGACTTTTTTTCGAAAAGGTAACTAGACAAAATCATTAGATAGGTATGTTTCTGAGTATCTGAAATTAAATTATAAGGATATCGTTAGTGTATCCATTTTTATAACGAGAAAACGTCAGTAATCGCGATAATTTAAAAACTTAACTTTTTAACACATAACACGCCATAACTTAAGAACCACTAGGTATTGAAGCTTTTTTTTATTTTGAAGATCGGGTCATTTACAATATGTTTACATAAGAAATATTCGATAAGGTTGTTTTTTCCATTCTAAAATTTTAAACAACCCATTCATTTACTTTTAGTGCATAGCAGTTTTCAGTAATCGTGTAACTTTTTTATTTATAAAGATAAAAAGAAGAAAGTTTTTGAAAAAATACAATTAATTATTTCTAAGATTTCGAGATATCGATTTTTGAATTCAGAGTTCTAATAGCGCGACCACCGTCGAACATCAACTCAATTCCACTCACTTTCATCAAAAATGCAAGTGTTTCTAACTTGCACTTAAAAATTTTCACGTTATAGGGAATATTACAACGACTCGTTAATAAATACATAATTAAAGTATCACGAGACGTAATTAAATTGTGAAGCTGAACGCATGATGTACACCTTTTCCTAGAACCTTAAGTACTGACATTGGTACTGATTGGGTCAACCGGTCGACAAATCTGCTATATCCCCTTCCACGTCTCTAGCAATGTGCACAGTTTCTCGGTTTATTTCGTACGTTTGGCAATTTAATTTACTGTTCTCTCTTTGTTCAGTACATTATAAACGCATTGTACTCTTCTTACATACGGAAATCTCGACCCAAGATTAACCTTTGCCTTAGTATGGTGTTCCCTTATACCATGAGTAACTGACACATTGATAAGAATAGCTATATTGAACTGTAAATGTCGAATCACTAGAGCTAAGTAACTTCCCTACATCAAAATCCACAAACATAAATTCATTTATAGTTGAAAACCTGGAGAACACAACATAATAATAAGAAATGGGGTCTCCCGAGTAAAAGCCAACCTGGTTAAATGGGATATAAATCAGTATGAGGCCACCCAATGCGAACAGCCCATTGAGAATGTTGCCAAATGCAGAAACTGTCCTTATACTTGCAGTTATGGGAATTTACGGCTGCGGCTGGTAAGAAAAAATGCATTTAACGTAGCCCTGCATTGGGAGGGAATTAATCGTATAATTGACAGATGGCAACTTTCACTTTTAATTTAGAAAGATGTAGCGTTTTTTAAACCACTACCACTGCGAACGCTGCGTGGATAAGGTATTTCACTAGAGAGAAAATTAATCAGTAATAATTAACAAAAGATATATAGATATTGGGCGCCAGGCATGTACAGAAAAAGAAAACACAGTTGTATAATACTTAAAACTAATGACTATATTTATTCATGACGTTCTTTGCTGATACATGACATTGTAGAGTTCTAGTAAATATACAGTGGTTATATGTCAAAGAAAGTGGTGGTAAGAGTCGTACTAAATATCAATGAAAACAACTACGATAAAATACAGGACATGTAAAGTTTAAGAGAAAATATGAAATGTAGCATTACTTTAATTAATTTGATATATTCCATATGATGCTAAATCGAAGATGTTACAACCTGTAGATTCTAGAATCTATGTTTGATTATCCATCTATTAAAATAGTGCAATAATATCTATGAAAGTAATACCATTACAAGACGTAATGCAATGAAACCTAAGATCTAAATTATATTTTAAAGATTATATCGACAGGAATGTTCTTAACAATCTAACCACTGAACATAGTCTGTACGATATTACTTAAGATGTACGTTATTGTTTTAGACTGAAAATGTTTTAGATGTTAAATGTAAAACTAGAACTTAAATATACACTTAGCTGTTCTTTTATGTAACCTTGCTTCAAACAGTAGCAGCGTGAGGTGGTCTAGCATCTCTGTACTGTCTGTCGGCGATCCTGTTGGTCAAAACAACAAAAGGGGCCAGATTGAGGACACAATGAATCCTTACAGCCGTAGCTACTGACTAGGCTTAGAAATGGGAGTGAAGCAGCATGGGACTCAAGCTACATCCACGCTGTGGCACTTAGATGTAAGAAAAAATCGTTCTTACTGGGGACACTCGTCCACAGGACATCTGTACATAAGATAATGTCTGTACATAAGACACTACCCGTGCCTTGGAAATAGTCCGTACCTTGGACACAGTCCGTACCTTGGACACAGTCCGTACCTTGGACGCAGTCCGTACCTTGGACCCTAAAATATGAAACTCTTGTTTAAAACCAAACAAGGTCTAATAAACAAAATAAACCTACCTCGAAATACTTCCGAGGGCTCAATAAATAATAAACAACATGTCCTTTCTTCCATGTGACATTCTGGAGGACAAAAGAAAAGGGACGCCAACGTGCCAGCAAAACACAAATACAAGTTGGGACATCCGTAACTCTACCCTAAAAATATTCAATAATAATATCGAACCTATAAAAGGTAATAACTCATCTTTACCTGTAGCCTCGAAATAGCAGCTGATTCAAATTATACAGCAAGACTTAAATAATCACCATTTCCAAAAGCTGGGATACAACAGAGCGTCAAAACAAAGTGAGGTTAAGCCCGGAGACAGATGACAGAAGCGATGTTGACAGCGCCTCCTCAGAGCAATAACAGGGTTGTGTCGAACGGTAACAGGGTTGGCGACTAGGGAACGTAAAAATTACGCGTCAAATAAATTATCCGGCCTGAACGAGAGGGAATCCGGTGATGATAGGCCAGACATCATATATTATATATAAAAAAACATGTAACGAACTAAAAACGTTACAAAGAGATACTAAATAGTCAAATAATTTAGCTACAAATTGGTTAAAAAGTCATCAAAATCGGTCCACTAGAACACAAAATATATAAAACTTTAAAATACATGAAAATTTTAAGGTGCCCGTTTTTCGAGCCGGTGAGTGTAGTAGTGTAATCGGATTTTTGCTCTAATTCAGTAAGACAATTAGCGAAGAGTTGGCAACACTGGGCAACAGCGTTATCCCAAAAATCACCATCGAAATAAAATTTATGTGTTGTAAAGTTTAAAGATCGGCGAAAATCACCTCGTAAGGTCGGAAAATTCATCTGGATGAATCAGTGCGAGGTGCGATAACTGACTTTTGCGAGCTATAAAGGGGTTACGCGTCGACGGGACAGAACGAATCCGTTCGTCGTTATTTTGGGGCCGGTCGTGGATCCAAAAATAGAGCGGCGACATCCGAAACCGTGGAGGACAGGGCTCGGGAAATCGGTAGCGGGAAACGCACATACGCCAACGTCGCCGCCCGAAACGATTTTCACTATATATTATTCGATCAGTTTCGGATGTTTTGGACCGGCCGGATGATTTAATGCCGTTAAATATAGATGGCAGTTCGAGATGAGGCGATGGCACGAATAGAATCCGTTTTAGATTGCACCAGGTTGAAAATGGATCAAAATGAATTACTATATCAGAAAGGTTTTATAATTTAATCGTATAGATTCAACATTCGACTTATCTCTTGAAACAAAATTGATTTTAATTGGTCATCATACAAAGAATAATTATTATGAAGATTATTCTTTGTATGATGCAGATTATTAAAAAACTATAGATAAATATAAATAAGGTTGTTATAATGGATGAAAATGACTGTTACAATAAAATCAATCAACTTAATCGATATAAGGTCCCTACACGAAAATAATCCTTTGTCAAAGATGGTAGTAAATGCTACAAAAAAAATAAACCAATTCGATTGCTCCACGAAGGACTTGCTCCAGAGGAAGCAAAAGCGAAAACACTCCTCCGAAAAGGGGAGAGTAAAGAAACCAAGAAACGGCCTGACTCATCTCCATCAAAGGGCAAGAGAGGGAACGAGAACCTCTCACCTCTCACCTCTTCTCCGGCAGGGAGAGAAAAAAGCCAGGATGGAAAGTCGTCCAACACCGGGAGGCAAGCAGGGACGTATCACCAGCTTTGCCACTATTGCTGGACAAGTGAACATGGCGGTGCTGCCAAAAGATTTCCCAGAGGCTGCTCTGACCACCGACCAGTAAACGTCTTTAGAAGAAATGGACCAAGTAGTAGCGATCGGATCGCAACACAACGATCTACAAAATGTCGGCTGCGTTTTGCGGGGATACACTTTCGGGTGGACATGATGCTCATAGATCGTGTATTTCAAGAATCGGCGAATTGGTTGGTGAAAATCGCACCTAAACTTAAAAATTGGCAAGGGCTGGAACTGGTTGCAGTGAAGGGAGAAAACATCTCTAAAGGAGCGGCCATCACGGTCTTTCTGCCGAGGAGTAAGGGGAAAGACACCAATTCGAGGGAGGAGGGTCATGGTCAGGTCCTCAAAATAGGAATTGACCTCAAATGCAAGGAGGCAATACAGGCAAAGAGGAACATATCCTCTATTATAGATACGGGACAACACCGGTATCAGGTCTAAGGAGAGACCAAGTTAAAGGGTGGAGAAAATGGAGACAGATCCTCCACCTCACGGGTACCTCAGCCGGAGGCAAGATCCTCGACTGTGAAGGGCACGGAGGGCCAAACTCCAACCGTGGAAGGGTGTGTACCTTCGGAGGAAGAACATCTGTTGT